ACATACATATATATAACGTGATCGATCAATACATAAAATGATGATCACCTGTTGATCAGCTGATCACCGCTGCTTCATGTCTCCACAGGGAGGGGCTACTGGAGGCTGAGCTGCGCGACATCATGTCCCTGGATGATGATGTCATCAGTGAGGTGCACAGATACTCACTCCCTCCGACCCCCTCGTTGATCAGACTGCCCCCCCTCCTGTGGGCCCGACTCAGACGGGACCTCGAGGACCAGCTGGAGGAGCGGTGGATGGGCGGAGTCGCCACTCTCACCTTCAACAACAGGTACACTGAGAACATGTGATGACATCACAGGAGATTAGATTTGATGTGATTCACAGTCTTGACATTTGTCGACTTCAGACGTCTGTCGGAGGCGATTTCATCTCGCTATCTGATGTCAGAGCGTCGGGGGCGGAGCCACAGGATCCTGGCAGAGTACTTTCAGGGTCGGTGGTCGGGGAAACTGAAGCTGGCGACGTTGCCGGGTCTGTCGCTGCTCCTCTCCGACAGAAAGGTACAACACATCATCTGATGACAACGAGAACGTTAAAGCTTCAATGTCTCCACATCTGACACAAAAATCAAACATGAGGAACAGGAAGAGGAAACCACAGAAGCCTGTTCCAGTGTGACTCTGATGGTTGTTGTTGACACTTCCTGTGATGTCACAGGTCCCGCCCCAGCCGCTGTGGTTTGCTCCAGGATTGGCTAACGTCAGGAAGCTCCAGGAGCTGCCCTATCACCTGCTGCACGCCGGCCTGTGGGAGGAGCTACGACAGGAAGTCATCGGTAAGAAGCTCAGAGTAACGTTAAAACTCCGCCCACTTCCACCACACACCTGAAACACGAGAAGATCGTAGAAAAGACGAAACGAGTTATTCGGAGTTTTTGTCCAATAAACGATGAACTCGTTTCTTCGTGGTTTCCAGGCAACGCTGAGTGGCTGTACTGTAAGAGCAGAGTGTGCGGGGTCACCAGCGTCATCCACGACCTGGACCAGAGCTCCCAGCAATTAGACTGCACCGAGACCAGACTGATCCGAGACGCTCTGGTCCTCATCAAACCCACGCTGGACTTCCTGGACAGTCACATGGGTTCGTTATGAACAGTTCAGACGTTGTCTCAGTGTTTTCTGTTTGTGGGGGTGAGAGCCTTTAGAGACAACATTCTCTTCTTTATAAAAGTAAATAAAACTTGACGAGTCGAGACACTGACTCTGTGAAACCTCTCGCAGACATGTCTCTGTTCTTCACCGAGCTGTTGGCCAGACTCTGCTCCTTGGCCCCGACCTTCCCCTCTGTGATTGGCCGGCTGTGCAGTCAGTGCGAGGAGTGGTTACTCACGTGTCCCGAGCCCGCCCTCATCCCGAAGTGCAGTTTCCTGCAGCAGCCAGGGGGGGCGCTGCAGCACACACTGAGCGGGCTGCAGGGAGGTCAGACATGTCGTAGAATCTCAGGTTGTTGTCATGTCTCCGCTGCAGCAGGTTGACTCGTCCTCGTGTCTGCAGGTGTCCTCTGTCTGGACGTCAGTGTGGAGGCGGAGCTTCTGGTGGCGGGTCTGGATGATGGCGTGGTGATGGTGTGGCGCCTCAGTGACCAGCAGCTGCTTCACACGCTGCTGGGACACAGCGGTCAGTCTGATCACTTTGAATAACGATGATTAGTGATAACGACGACGATGACGATAATCTCTGTGTGCAGGCGCCGTCTTGTCCGTTAAGGTGATTGACAGCTCATCTTGCTGCCTCTCATTGGCCGCTGATGGTTCTCTGAGAAGGTGGAGCCTAATGAAAGGCCAGCAGCTGCTCTGCATCCAGGAGGCGGTGCCTGTTGACTCCTCCCCTTCGTCGGTACACCTCCACCTGTCTGATCAGAGACAGCTGATCTATGTTTACACCTGCACACAGGTAACACTGGCATCAGCTGTTTCTACTGACTCTGGGTTCACATCAGAGTTTCAGCTGTCGTCGTTTCTCCAGGTGAAGGTGTGGACGCAGGAAGGGGCGGAGCTCTTCAGCAGCGGTGAGGACGGCTCCGTGGTTCTGGGACTTCTGGAGGAATCTGTATGTTCTCTGACGGACGGGGGTCTGGTCAGAATATTTCATCCTGTGAACGACGCTGTGGAGACTCAGCTGGAAAACTGTCTGACACGTTTGAGTCTGGTGAAAACGGCCGTTTCACCGAAACGTGGGACGCTGTTTGTGGCCACGAGAGACGGCGTCCTCCATCAGGTACGTCAGGTTTGATTGACAGTTTGGATGAATAATGAATGAAAACTCAAATGTGAGACACAGAAAGTACTTTTGAAGTATTTACTGCACTGATACTTTCAGTTCAACATATAAACGTGTTTCATGATCGACAGATGAAAAACCTGATTTACTAAAGTTATCTTTCAGTTGTGTGTTTTAAACTACACCAACACACGTGCACACATCTCAACCTGAAGAAGTATTTTTACATGTTCAGAGTTTTATCTAGAAACTAAACATACAGATTACTTACAGGATTCTATAAATATATCTATATATTATAAATGTGAACATATGGTTTGAATGAGTTTCTGCTTGGTGCTAACTATCGTGAAAAGGATCAGTTCTGTCCGATTAAAATTGTAAATATTAAACGTGAATATTTATCCAGGTTATGATGTTTGTGAAATAGTTTTACGTGTTTTACGTGTTTGCAGATTTCCAGGACTGGAAAACACTCGGCTGTCGAGTTTCCTCTGGTTCCTTCGTTACTTTCTGTTACTGAAGATGAGAAAATACTGATGGCAGGTTGGACAACGTGTGACATCACTCAATGTTCTGCAGATCACAACAAACAGACACGGACACTGTAGATTTTAAATGTTTTATGATTTGAGGAATTCTAGAAGAAATTAAAATGAATTTATTAAAACTTCTTCAAGTTGTTTGTCTGAAGCTCAGCAGTCGTCAACCAATGACAATGATGATAATAATTATGATGATGATGATGATGATGAT